GCTAAATGCAAGCTAAAAGAAGGTAAACAGTTGCTACTAGTAGCAAATTGCTAGCTAAAAGTAGGTAAATGCAAGCTTAAAAAAAAGGTAAACAGTAGCTAAAAGTAGCTAAATACTTGCTAAAAACTAAAAGTCACAAAAAGCTATCTATAAACTAAGGTAAGAAAAGTCTGGATAAAATTCAAAGGCTAGCTAGAAGCTAAAATTAGCATAGCAAACAGAAACAAAGTAATATGTTGAAGCAAAATGTTTAAAAGGCCAACTTTTTGGTGAAGCAAACAAATCTTAATATATTTTTATGGGGAAATTATTTCTAAATAAAGTTAAATGTTTGAAATAATATTTAAAAAACACACACAAAACTGTAATTTCCATCTGATGAGCTGAATATTTTTTTTATATACAAGTAGCTAAAATACTACAAAGTGTGCAAAAGTAGAGTGAACAAATATGTGGAAAATAATAAATTAAAGTAGTAGACATACAGCACTGAATGCTGAATCATCATTCACACAACATACTAAAAAACAACATCTCACATGGCGTCAGTGACCATGACAAAATAATTTGTTTTAGGAAGGGGTTTGAAAACACACATGGATGATTCCTGCCTGCGGTGCACGCAGGTCATTCCACGTTTTGGGCTCTACAACAGCAAAGGCAGGTGAGAAATCTTGTGACCAGCACATATAGTCTGTTAAAAATGTTCCAAAATTACAGCAGAACTGTGCAGAACACACGTATCACCATCCATCCATCCATTATCTTTACCCGCTTATTCCATTTTGGGTCACGGGGGTTGCTGGTGCCCATGTCCAGCAATCACTGTGCGAGGGGCGGGGTACACCCTGGACAGGTCGCAAGTCCATCACAGGGACACATAGAGACACACGAGACAAACGAGACAAACAATCATTCACTCTCTCACTCACACCTAGGGACAATTTAGAGTTACCAATCAGCCTAACATGCATGTTTTTGGGCTGTGGGAGGAAACCGGAGCACCCGGAGAAAACCCACGCATGCACGGAGAGAACATGCAAACTCCACCCAGGAGGCCCCTGGACCGGGGTTTGAACCAGGGACCTGTTCGCTGACAGGCAGCAGCTCTACCAGTTGCGCCACCGTGCTGCCCCACACGTAACACATGTTAATTTAATATTTTCACACTTGAAACATGTGATTTCCACATATAAAGTTCAGGTTTTTGTTTTTGGTAGAGGAAAACAATAGAAAATGGTTACAAATGATTAAATGTGCTCTGTCGTAACATGATTTTTTAGAAGTTGCACATCCATTGGATGATTTTTGACACACAAATATATTCATTTAGCACCAAATGATTAGCCAGGGTCCTCATTGGACAGAAAAGAGAGGATAAAGTTATTTTTTTTTACATTTATGGATGATTTATTTTATGAATTAAAATACAAGAAAAATAACTTTATTAAAACTTTCATATACAAAGTATGTATATACATATATATATATATATATATATATATATGTATGTATGTATGTATGTATGTATGTATGTATGTATGTATGTATGTATGTATAGATAGATAGATAGATAGATAGATAGATAGATAGATAGATAGATAGATAGATAGATAGATAGATAGAGGGT